GGGGGGGGGGCAGGACTGTCTCCCTTATAGGCGAGCGGGCAGAAAGCCACCTTAGTGTCAAAACTAATTAGCGGGGTGGGGGGTGCCGGGGTCAAACGCAGCGAGCGAAGGTCTCGTCGCCCCCCCCCCCGGGGCGGGGGGGGGGGGGGGGGTTCGTTACCTTCTCCTTGTGCCAAACCGAAGGGAGCGGGGTGAGAGGGATCGGTGCGGAGTTCCCGTTGAGTTTCCAACCGCCCGTGTCTTCTTTCGCAGAAAGACCCAAACTGCCGGATAATTACACTCGGGACACCTGGCAGAAACTTCATGAGGCGGTGGGAGCCATACAGAGTAGCATTTCTATTAAATACAACCTTGAAGAGCTCTACCAGGTAAGGCGCGTAGGGTTGGTTTGGTTGTTTTTCTTTTTTCTTCGGTGTAACAGAAGGAAAATTAACTGCTTTGGGACCTTCACAGAGCGACATGTGCAATATCAGGCGATTTGATTGCTTAAAAGCTGATTATATTTTCCGAACTGTTTGCTCCGCACTCTGTTTCCAGTCAAGTTTGCAGTTTTATCTATCAGTTCTTGGAGAGCTACCAGGATCTGGGCCCATGAAAAAGCAGTTTATGTTGGGAGACACAGAAAGCTGTGCCTGGGCACGGCTGAGATTTAAGTCTCAGTCTCTTTTAGTACAGTGCCCACTTGAGATGCTGGAAACGGGATGTTCCTCTCGCTGGGTGATGCAGATACATATTTTATGATGATTTCCCTTTTCTACATGCCATGGTCTCTTGTGTTGAAATACTTGTTGTTATGAGATAATAACAATTAGGCTTCAGCATCAATACCCTGTGGGGAATTAAAAAAGAATCTTGGTTGAGCAAGCAACAAACTGTCAGTTTACCTGCGTTTCAGATTACTGTTACATTTTCATAACAACTGGGATCTTAGTTTTATTATTAAAATGGTGAAAAAGTATTTCTGGGACATCTGGACTACTGGAGCAGGGGCTAGAGAGGGTAAGAGAGAAATACTCATGAGCCATTTCTGTCTACTTTCTCCATTTACATATGGTTTAGTTCTATATTATTTTAAACATATGTGCTTTGAGGTAGCTAACTGAAGCTGTAACTTTCTACAGTGATCATGTTGTAAAAAATTACTGATGCGCTAAGTTGTGCTACATAGCTTAAGTTAGTTACGAGTTTTCTGTGGGTGCAGGTGTTTGAGCTGCAGGTGTGGATCTCATTGCCAGATCGGGACTTAAGACTTTATTATATGCTCACCTAAAATTTTCTAAATGTTCAGTTGAGGTAGGTTTGATGTTGTCTGCGAAGTGCAGGCTGTGAGGGAGAGGAAAGCCAGCAGTCCATATTGGGTCCACACTCAAGAAAATAGGGATGAATTTGAGAGCTGACTGTACTTGTCCCTGTGATTAGTTAGGGTATATAATATCTGGGTCTAAAATGGCTGATTATGTAAATGCGTATTGACTTAATATAATTTATTCCCTTTAAAGAGATTAACTTGACTGTGATATATGCATCTATTAATACTTGCAGGTTTGCAGAATTTGAATTACATAATATATTTCATGGTTTTAAACTCAGCATCTGAAAAATCCTGCTTTTTCATGCCTAGCAAAAAAAAAAACAAAACCAACCCTCACAGATGCTTCGAGCGTTACCTAACTTGTTTTCAGAGGCTCAGAAATGAGATTATAGTAACACGGCTATGAAATCGCCTGGGTACAGACTTGAGTTTTGGCAGAAGAGGAGGAGAGAGATTTCAGATCAACTCTGAAGGGAGAACTGTACTTCTTGCTTTTTCTGTTTGCCTGCTTATTTGTAAAAACTGCACAAGGCCAGTCCAATAATCTGTAAGGCGGCGGTGCAAATCAGCGAGATTTCTGCACGGTGGGTGGTGGCGGTCAGCGTGCCTGCGCCTGGATAGGTACGTACGCTCCTGCCAAAGGAATAAAAGATGAAGTTCAGCATCTGTCAGAAACCTGATCTGTACTTACAGATTGTTTAGCTGCCTGTTGGTGAGCACCGAGTCATCCACAGGAGAAAATTTCTCTGTATGCATCAGTTCTTACTATCGGGGCTTTTTTTTTTTTTTTTCCTCCGAGTCTTTATCTGACGTTATGGGAGGAAATGAGAGGCCTAGGAGAGTTCAGTGCTGGTGTACCAGCCTGCCTTTGAACTTTCTGATTTATTTATTCAATTTGGCACAGTGGCGGAGGAAAAACTGAAGAACAATGACAAGGCTTTGTGGGAAGCCCGAAGGATACCCCTTTCCAGGCTTTAGAGGCAGTGTGGGATCAGGCACGAAGGTGCTTGGCAGAGACCTAGTCAGTGAGCAGTGGGAGGGTGGCAGCCAATTTTTTTTGCGACTAAAATAGAAATGATGTCTGGGATTGGTGGTAGATTGCACAGATTTTGATAGAAGGAGCTTATACTTGATGGGATGGAGAAAGTGGGGCAGTGCAAAGAATTGCCAAGTGAGGAGTGAGTGAGAAAAATAATGGAAAAAGAAAATTCCCTTTGCAGCAAGGTCCTAAATAACCTGAAATGGGGCAGCGCTGCCCTTCTGGAGGACATAGAGTAGGACGGCGTAGTAGTGAAGGGAAAAAAAAAATGATGGAGAGTCCTGACCAGACTTTTATTTGGATGGATGGATAGGAAGGGCAGCTATGTCTTAGAAAACACAACAAACTGTCCGCAAAGTGATTATGTGTGAATATGGTTTGTTGCAGCTGTCATTTTACTTACCTGGTTTAAAACCAGATGAAAAACATAATACAGGCACTGTGTGATAGTTTTGTTTGTTTGCTTTCTTTAATATTGTATCAAAATTGAGGAAGCCATAGTTGGTGTACATTTAAATAAGACGACATCAGGTAGGTTAGAATTATCCCATGGGGAGATCTCTGGGAAGCAGATTCACTTTGTGTTTTGGAAGACAAACTCTTCAGGATGTTAGAACCTATAGAGGAAATAATACAAGAAGTAGCAATAATTTGCATGCTATATGTTAAAACAGAAGACTCTGCTCAAAACAAGCTATTAAAAGGTTGATTTGAAGCAGAATTTTTATGAGGTAAGAGTCTAAAACTGTTGTCTTTCTCGTATCCTTGTACATGTGATAATTACTGTAGCTTTTTTCCAAACTAATTATGTGCAAGATGAATAAAAGTCAAAGCAAATTTCTTCAGAAAGAGAGGGAGCAAAAATTCTGAATGAAACAAAAGGTGAAAAAGGAGGAAATTACTGGATTTCATGCCCCGCCGCCTGCAAAAAAAGCAGAAACAGCTAGTAGAGGTGTCACTGAGACGATACAGCTGCAGTCTGAAATACACTTTAAGCCAAGCACTGTTGCCCAAGGAAGCAGCCCTGCTTTCCCCCTCATGTCTCTCTCTGCCCACGCACTTGCTAGCCTGTGTATTTGGGGGATCTTAAACTGAAACGGAGTGAAGAACATTCACTAACACTTTGACAAAGAGGTACATGCTGACTTTAGGTACCGTAACGTTTCATATTACAAAGAAGTAAGATACACCAGAAAAAACTAAAGTTCGTGGAAAACTGAGTAAAGGCCAAGCACTGGATAATACTGAAACTTTGTCCAAGTTCCTTGATGCTATCAGTAAATTTATCAACAAAATGTGACACTATAAATCCTCTGGAGCAAAGGAGAACGTTTTTGGGTCAGTTTTAGTTGCCCAGGTGAAATAGCGCTTTAAATCTTAGGCAGTGCTCTCTGCAGTATCACCTCATAGCACAAAGGCAGTTGAGGTGAAGTTCAAGACAGCTGGATTTTTAGTTCTGAAAATCATGTCTAACTCCTTTGGATAATTTTGTATGAACCACTGAATGGCCAAAAATACTTGCTGTAAACTTTACAGTTCTCACAGAACATTTGGCTGTCTTCATGGTGATTCATTTCAGATGCTATGGTCTATTAATAAAATAATTTATTGAAATACAGCACACAAGTTAAAATAAAGTGTGCCTGGAACAAAGTCTAAATATAGGCAGTGGTATCAAGCAAGGCTACATTTTCTCTCTGGCATTTTCATTGAGTTTCTTGTGAGGAAAAAATGTTAGTGTAAGACAACGTAATTACTGAATAGCTGAACAGCAGTATTCTAGAGATGGCCAGAGCTGTCTCAGCGTAGTCTGGGTCAGCTGTGTAACAACTCTATTTACATTAATGTAGTGACCACAGGAATGTTTGGTTTGGGGCAGGATCGGTTGTCTTAGTCAGCTCTGGATAAATACTCAGCTAAATCCTGTGAGGTCCCAATAAATCATTTCAAGTCTTTATTTAACAGTTAATGTAGGGGTTTTGTTGGGGTTTTTTATTATTATTATCTTTTCCCCTCAGTTTACATACCTTAGCATGAGTGTGTCAATCAGTGGAAACACTTGGAAAGAAATAAGTTAATAAAATGACAGGAAAGCAGCTGTGTTCATTTGTCATTTAGAGACAGTAGTTGAAACGTGTACCTGAAAGTTATTAAGAAATGCAAATATTTGGTATGATTGTGTTTCCCCCAAAAAAGTGCATGTGCCCTTGCGCTGGAGGATGCACAAAATGAACCTACAGAAGAGTTCCGCTGCCAAGCAGTATTCAAGTGGGGGAAAATTCTAGTAATGTTTAACAGCACATCTGAAATATGACCCAGGTGGTGATGGTGGACATTGTTTGTACACGAAATCCAGCAGTATAAGAAGGGACCAAAATCAGAAAGGAATCATGAAGTCTTAATTTTTCTACATAGCTCAGATAATTTCATTTTGATGTTTTGTTTTTGTGCAGAACTTGAACAGATAATGCTGATATTTTTTTTTTCTCTTTGTTGTTGGCCTCGATTACGCAGGCACAAAAATTTGAGGTGTTTTTTTTCTTTTTATCTCATTCATAATCTTTTTTTGGTTTTTAGGCTGTTGAAAATCTCTGTTCTTACAAAGTCTCTGCTACACTGTACAAACAGCTGCGACAAGTCTGTGAAGATCATGTGAAAGCACAAATCCTTCAATTCAGAGAATATCCTTTTCTCGTGCACAGAAATGGTTAGAATGGTTAGTTTAAATCATTATTTTTTAAAACAACACTTTGTAAAAATTACACCCATAATTGACAATGTGTTCAAGAGGTTCCTTGACCACTTACATTTTCAAATCAGACATAAGCAACTTTAGCCATCTGAGTGAATAATTTTTGTGTACCAATAAGTAGCATGCTAATAACAATTTACTTATGATTTTAATAGGAATGCAAATGTTACACCTAATTTAGAAAATTTCAGTAGCACTATGAGATTTAACAGCAGGTATGGATTTGTATGGCAGGTGAGTAGTGGAGATGCTTCCAGTAGCAATAGCTTTAAAATAAAAAAATCACTGCAGTAATTTTCAACAACAGTGTCTTCTGTAAAAGAATTCTCAAACATAAAGTACACCTGTTTGACCAAAAATAACTACTGGCCAGCGGCTATGTGTCACGGAGGCATTCAACAAGCCTTTTGGGTATCTTCTGTGTGCTTGGGAGGTTCTTGGGAGAGAGCTCTAAGTTCAGGAGATCACTTGGCTGTCTTGGGATGCACAGAAACTTGAAGTTTTACGGTAAATTTCCCCATAGTTTTCTGAAGTTACATTGCCGGGCTTTTCTTCTGGCTGAACTGGTCACAGAAGTAAGTGCCTGTAGATCTTCTCTGGACACCTGCGTGCAGCCACCCCTATTTTCTGAATCCCTTTGTGCTTTGCATGCTGAGACCATGCTTTATGTGATAGTTACCTTTTGTGTAACAGCCTAGGGGTTGCACTTGCTTGGGCAGTAAGATAAATAGAGTGTACACCCGCCTGGCTGTCCCCACGTTCCTGGGGAATGCCTGAGCAAGCAGGTGCTGGAGAGTGCCACACTTAATGGCACTGTTTCCCACGTCTCTATGTATTTTATTAGCAGAAAATGGTAGATTATAATAGAAAGAAGCAAGGGACTAGGGCCCAGAAAGAACCTTCTTTCCAGGTGAATGCCTTAAATGTGCTTTGGGTTGTGACTTTCAGTTTCTCAGTTCACTGCATTCCTCAGGTAGGTGCCTACACTCATAAAGAAGATCCCAGGTATCTCTTCTTTCCTGCCCCCCTGCCCCATTATCTAGCTAAGTCCCAACATGGTTTTGGGTTGTGTGGTTTTGTTTTTTCTTTTCAAGTCCCAGTTAAGAAGTCTGGCTTCTACATAGCATATAAGAAACATAGGTACATAAATCATCACTGTGAATTCACCTCTTATATGGCAGCTGAATTTTTCATTACATTTACTTTGATGCATTTAAAGTCACATCTGACTAAAAAGTGCATTAGTCAGTGCAGTAGTCTCTTAAACATAACTGATCTCTGAGAACCAAATCTTACAGTCTGCTTTAAAGCAGAGTACAGTCAACTATTTTTTACAACCCTGCCTTTTCAGACTTCAGATGATCTTCTGAAGAGATGTTTTAAAACTTTGCTTTCTGCCTGCCCTCAGACAGAGCTAGTGGCTTGGAGAGTTGAGAATTTTATATTTTACAGGTGTACCACTTTATATCCCAAGGACATGAGATCAGATTAATCAGATTTGGCCAGAGGGAGTTGGGATGATACTGTGCAGGAGAGGAAGGTAAAGCCACATTAGGATTTACTCATACAACACACAAAGATTCTGTTATTCATAAATAACAGTTGGATCTGTTGAGTAATGAAGAAAACTCTATAGTTTACTTAGGGAGATCTGGAGGTGTGTATGAAAAGAGTGGTATTTGGATTTGTTGAGGATTATTTAGAACTGTAACTGCTTTTAAGAGATTAGGGTCACTCCTGTTGTGCACAGCGTGAACTCATTAAACAAACAAAATAAACCTTTCTATCCCTCTCACCTCAGTTGGTGACAAGGTTGTTTTTGACACTGGTGGGATTTCTTGTTTAAATCTATATCAAAGTTATGCAGTACAGCCACTAGATGGTATTACTGAAGAGCAGTGAGTGTTATTCCTTGAAAATACAAGGGAGGCCTTTTGGAGAACTGCCAGCCCCTCCGCTGGGCAGGAGCTCCGCAATTAATGGTTTATCCCTGGGCAGTCACAGTAACATCAGAATATTCATGGAGCAGCTTTTGCTTAATGGCTAGCAAAGCTCATCTCCAGAATCTGGCCTCAAAAGATACCGGCAAGCTAGTTTTCCTTAATAGCTGCTGTACAGATTCACTGGATAGTCTTTTATTTTTAAAGAAGATAAATAAATGCTGGCAAGATCATTGCAGACAAATGGTAAGTTGAATGTTTGTTCAGAATACATATTCTTGAGGTGTGAAATCTGGCAAAAAGGAGTTTGTCATGGCTTTAACTTGGGACTGCATTGCACCTCCTCCTCAATTTCAGCATTGCTTTTCACTTTCCCCTTTGCTAGCTGGGGGTGGTTTTGTTGTTGAAAACTTATGTTCTGTTGTGTTAACTCTGACTTTCATCGGTTTCATATGAAGTTGGAATATCACTCAGAAATATATTGACACCTGTTTTCCATGGGTGGAAAAAAAAACTAATCGGGCTATGCTGAAATTGTTTGCTGTTTGTAATTTTAAGTAATTGGAGAATCTACAATCTTTGTTTATAGCTAGCTCCAAGAGCTAGGTTAATTTGTGCCTTTTTTTTTTTTTTTTTTTTTTTGCAAAGCACAGGTGATTATCCTGACTATAGGGCTAAGAAACAGGAAGATTAAAGAACTGAAACTCCCTCTCTCTTTCTTTCTGCCCTTCTTGTCCTCTACTTCCACAATGAATTATGTTACAGAAAAAAATCCTCTCGCAGACACTCTCTGTGAATTGTCCCTTTGAGAATGCATCATTATAATTTTATACCAGCATTTTACAATGAGTTTTCATTGCATTGTCACTTAGCTTTGGCTACAGATGCCCCAAATGGTTGAATTTCTATTTTTGTTCCTTGAATCCACCACTCTCCCCTCCCTTGTGGGGGATGGGCAGAGGTATGTGATTTTTATCTGAAATAAAAATGGAAAGCGTTATGGAAAATACTCAAAACAAATTCAACAGTCTGATGAACATAGAGTTCAAGTTTATTGCCTTGAAAATGTAATTAAACTGGACCTGTGGTTTTATAAAAAGGCTTTTACTATGAACTCTGTTGACTTTAATTACTTTTGAGTGGGTTTTTTTTCCCCTCCTCAAACTTGTAGCAAGTGGCTTTCTTGCCCATGTGCTGAGTTAGCACTTGTGGTATTAAAGGAAAAAAAATTCAGCCTCACTGCTGTTTTGCTTTACTGTGCTTGGCTGAAACTATGTCAGCTTGAGAATTGCTTCAGAAGCAATGAAATCTTTTAGGGGAGGAGTAGGTGGACAGCTGGGGATAGAAATCTCTGTAGCTGGCCTGGGGGTGAGTTAGTTACTGACATTCTGAGTTATGCTAATGCTAAACTGAAAGCTGGGCAGCCTTTTATGAGCAAAGTTAAAAATGGATTTTGAATGTGGAAGAGTAATAAGCTAAAAAACTACCTCCCTCTCCCACTTTTTTAATTTAAAAAAAAGATAATGTCTTATTATAACTTCTTTCCCCTGTTAGAATTAATGTATCTCTAGTTTTCTCATGAATTTTGGCAGCTAACTTCTATTATGAAAAGATCTGTTGCATAGCTTATTGCTGTCTCTGCTTAAAGCTGCTTTTTTTTAAAAAGCAAAAACCATGGCAGCATGCTATTTCAGGGTGTTTACTGAATGTCTTGGTGGTACTGCTTGAATGGCTTATGTATTTCAGTAGCAGTAAAATCATAACAGGCTAATAAAACTATTTAGTTAATAGTTTTTACGCATTTGAAAACTGTCTTGGATGTACTTGGAAATACCACTTAGTAATAGTATTAACAACAATAAATTACATGTCAGTGGCTGTACAAGTCACCATAAAAGATGAAAATACATACATCAGTAATTAAGGTGCATGTCTATGTGATGTAGTTTTTCAGAAGTTGCTTTATAATTTAAAATACCACATGATGGTGAAGAGAAAAACATTTTCTTTTATATATTTTCAGATCATGATCAGAAGCATTTTCTTATTTTTGGATCGTACATATGTACTTCAGAATTCAATGCTTCCTTCTATATGGTAGGTATCCATGTAAGTATTCCTCAGATCTTTAGAGTTTGAACATGCTATTATATTTGCAAAAGTTGAAAATTAATTTTTCCCATTATATTTGATCCGTGTAACGGGTCTCTCAAATTTTGTGTTAACTTATGGAAGTACCCGTGTCAGCGTATGCATGTGTCATTTCCTCCTTCCCCAGGAATATTCAGTGTAAAGTGAGGGTAAAAGAAGAAAAAGGTCTGTGAACATACACTTAAAAGTCAAGGCGTATATAGAGAGAGAGAGAGCTGTATTTGCCTCAGCCTGGCTGAGGGTGGCTGTGCGGAACCCCCTCGGCCTGCTGCCTCTGGGCCCTCACTGCCGGCCCAGCGTTACCTCAGGTGCTCCTGCTTTTGGCAAAATTCAGCGCTCCGCTTCTTGCTCTGTTTTTTCGGAGTCAGTGAGATACCCTGACGAGGTGCAGATCATCTTTCCAGCGCTGGCCTCTTGAGAGTCAAGACCTGTGGCTCAGAGCGTTGAGAAGATACTGCTGTACTTCCAGCATACCACGGCCACGATTTTGGGCGTTCTGTTTTTAAGCATCCCACCTGAGGGACGTTGTATATCATCGTCCAAACAAACCAACCCAGGCTTTGCCGAAAATTTCTGGTATCGTTACTCCACCTAAAGCAAAAAAATACGTAAAGTACTGAAGTAAGAGCGTACCTTTTCCCTGCCTGGCTGGCTTTTGTGCTCTCAGGAGTCCCTCAGGCTGTCTGAGGAACCCGACATTCCTCCTCCTGCCCCTCGCTTGTCCTGTGGACATCTTTTTCTTCCCAGCCTCTGCAGTAGTTTTTCCTCCAACTCTTTGTCTCAGGCTTCCTTTTACTAAACATTGCTGAAGAGGTTTGTTCATACTTTGTGTCTTTTTTTCCTCATAATGGGAAAATTCCCTTTATTGAAATCCTGATACGTGTGAAGAAGTTGGAGGTAACAAGTTTTATCTAAGATTCCTCCGTTTTCCTTGGCCGAGCCCATGTTTAATAATTAGCTGCTTCATGGCATAGAAGCACTGTTCCTTGTCCTCTCAGAATGAAACAAGAATCTGACACAGGTGATAATAAGGTCCTAAACATACAGAGAATTCATGCTTTTGAACAAAAGTTATAAATTACATATAGATTGACTGATCCAGGGAATCTTATGTACATGTTCAGATATTTCACCATTTTTCTAATAGTAATTTTTTTAATAAACAGAGAATGTTATAGTCTATTACATGAAATACAGACAGGCTGGTCGCAGTTCTCAGCTGAAGTGTGTGCATCTGGTAGCATGTGGCCTGGTATTTTTATGATGATTCTTCTTACAGTTTTCTTAGTGGACAGTGTCAAAAAGCTTATATATACCATTAATACATTCTCTTTTTTTATAATATATATACACTATATATATTTTATATGTATTTATTTTTCTCAAACTGAGATACAGATTTTTTAAAAGAATCAACGGTGTGATTTATTAATTTTCAATATTCTCACAGGGATATGGGGCTGGAGTTATTTAGAAATCACGTCATTAGTGACAAGCAAGTTCAAAACAAGACTATTGATGGAATCCTCCTGCTGATCGAACGAGAACGAAATGGTGAAGCTGTGGACAGAAGTTTGCTGCGGAGTTTGTTGAGCATGCTGTCTGATCTGCAGGTGAGTACAGCAAACTTTACTGATAATGGCTACGTTTAGAAACAGTTCGGACTTTTCTAATTTGTGTATTGGACAGAAATAATTTTATTCTGCTAGAAAATGTGCTTCAAAATCTAGCTATGAGACTGATAAGATTGCCTCTTCTTTACCCAATGTGCAATCTTTTATTCTCTGTTCTTAAACGAGACCTCTTTGCCTGTTTTCCTTAGCAGAGGTAGTGGCTTGCAGACTCTTAAATAATAGATTTGCAAGTCTTTTAGTATGTGCACTATTTTGTCTGTCTTAATCACTCATTTTCTAATCCTAGTGCTGATTAAATGTAGGAACAAAAAAAGACCACCTCTGTCACTGTAAAAAGGTGTCACTTTTTGGAGGCCAAATCCTGGGTCTGTATCATAAAAACATCATTGTATTGGCAACTTCTTAGCAGAGATGTCAAGGGTAGAACGGGATGCAAAGTTAAGGCCAAGGTTTTCAAATAGATAAGGTCAATCTGTAACTTACTGGAACTTTCCATTAGCATACTAAGTAACCAAATAGACTAAAAAATGCTGTGCGTCTGACTTTGACATCGTTGTCCTCCAGTTGACATTGCAGCCTTGTGTGATGTGCAATAAATCTTTGGAGCTGTCTCTCATTCTTGAAAACTGTTGAGGCTGCTCCGTTCCCAAGTGGTATACAGCATTACAGAACTGGCTGAAGGTTTAAAAAAGAGTTCAAAGAGGAGGACTGCATAAAATAGCCCTTTTTGGTCAGGCAGCTTACCTGCTTTTCTGCCTTTTGTGTTAAGGCTCCTGACTTTCACCTGTAACTTTCTGTAGTGTACCAGAAAAATTAATACGTAATTATTCTGTTCAAGAGAAGGCAAACTTCTGTCAATGATTTTTCTGATCACATAACGTGGAGGGGCAGATCTGATTTGTGTGCTTTTTCCCCCTTTTTTCCCCATTGTTACGTGCCAGGCTTCTCTGACTGCATCAGCTTTTTCTAGGTATTGACTTTTTAACATTTATTATTTTTTAGCAAAGTACTCTCCTAACTAAAGATGAACATTCCCCTTTATTGGATCCTTCTTATGGAATTGGATTTAAGTCTGCATTCTTCTTCATTGGCTCAAAAGTGTAGTTTTCTTTTTTCACTAGGGAAACTAACCTAGTCTAATCTGTTCTTTTATAATGTCTGTCACTTCACTGAGATGGAGATGTGCTCATAATCCTGTAATTATATGCCAGGATCTCTACTTCTCCCTCTTTCAACAGAAGTTAGCTTCTGGAGAAAGATTAATTAATTAAGCAAATCTTATATTTAATTTGAACAATTAATCTCCTACTCATTCCTGATTTTTAGGCAATTACGCAATTGAGGCCCAGCTGCTGAAACTTGATTCCTCCTTGCATAAATCCTATTCTATAGCTGTTTCCTATTGTAGAGCTTTACACATGTTCTATGCAGAAAATAGTTCCATATACTGTTATGTTAATGTTTTCCCAGTTACCCTGAAGGAAAGCAAGGTAAGAAATGAAATCTAGTATTTGATTCTGTTGAACATGGAGCTAGTGTAAAGAGAAGGCTGAAGCAGTGAGTTGATGTCTACTTGTGATGCTGCATTAGTGAACTATTATGCTCTGAACGCTTGTCAAGCAAGAGGTTTCATATTTAAGTCTGCATTGAAAAAAAATAAATCAAGCTTTTAGAAGTCCTTAAGAGAAAAAAAATGGTCAGAATGTAATGAGTTTACAGCTCTGCTATATGTTTTGGAATAAATATTTTCTTCTATTCTTCCACCACACTCAAGGAACCTTTCCTTTTTCTTTTCACTAACTGTCCCTCTGTCTACATGTTGTTCCTGACCTACCTTCTCCAGACTGTTTTAACTATTTTGTGTAGTTGTCCTTTCTAACTTGTCTCCTGTCTATACTAAACTGCTAATCATTATGCAGAAATTTTTCGATGGCTGTGATTGTCATTGGTGCCCTTTTTTACACACCTTATTCCTTCCCTGGGGGAAGAGACTTCACCTTATTTGGTATAATTCATTTTTCCTGGGCCACTGAGATAAACCTGGCAGATCTGAAGATGTATTACTGAGCGTATTATTATTCTGCTGATGGGAATTACCTGTTTTGTGCCAATGTTCCACTAGTTGGAAGTATTTTATTATTTTTTTTGCCACAGAAATATCAGTGGGAGCCTTGAGCTCAGGTGGATTGGATGTCATTGCTGTGCTGTGGTGGTGGGTACTGGTGTTGGGCTGTGTGCCTTAGACAGAAGTCTGTCAATTTATACGATATGAGTACTGATGGCTGAAACATGCTATTGCTGCACTGGGAAGTCAGCTCTGATCTCAGTCTTTCTAAAACCAGTGGGCACAGAACTTCTGTGTTAATGTAGTGTTACTCTGACACTTCTCGTAACTGTGTGCGTTCTTGAGATTTTACTTGCCCTCTATGCTTGACACCCAAAATATGCTACCCTTACTGGCAGCTTAATGTAAGTAACTAAATTAATTTCTTGAGCAGGTTTACAAGGAATCATTTGAACAGAGGTTTCTGGAGGAGACAAATTGCTTATATGCTGCAGAAGGCCAAAGATTAATGCAAGAAAGAGAGGTAGGTGCATGCTGTAGATGATTGCTTTTATGTCAGTTTTATCTGCTGTGGGATTACATGAGAACTTGTGGCAGTGTCATGGTGTATTAATGTTCAGTGAAATTCACTGGTACCCAGGTACACATGTACGCATTCACGTGTTTTGATGTGAACCACGGTATTCTATCAAAGGGAAGAGCAGGATCCAAATTGCCTTGGTGCTTGAAATACATAATTAAGGGTGGAGAAACCCAGTGACATTTTGTGTAGCAAAAGTCACACTACCAGAAAGTCATTTCCACATAAAGCTTAAAGGTGTGCTGTCAATATTATTTTTGCCCAAGAGCTGTAAAATATCCAGTGACATCATTTTACTATGTGGTTAATACGCAAGTAAACCGTTTACTTTTTTACTATTTTATTGCATTTATTTTGCTGTTTTGTTTCTTTTCCTTATTAGTTAAATAGACTTAAGAACACTTTTGTTTTCTGCCTTCCTGAGATAAAATTATGCTTTGCAGCGGGCAGCCTGCAGATGTGGTTATGTCTGAAAATGTATGCGTTTCTTGGTGGTCTAAAATCCAGCAGACTACCTTTATTTTAATTCCATTTTAACACGGAGTCACTACGCCTGTTTGCGTTGCACTGAGGTGAATCCTTGTGTCCAGTCCTGCTCTATTCACCTCATTCCCTGACGTTCCACTGGGACCTGAGGTGAAATGCTTCGACACAAATTTTGAGACCAACAGTCTTACTGCTTTTATATGCCTAGTGGAAAGCTGTGGAAAAACACAAAAGGGAGTAAGGCGCTAACTTAAACAGTATATACATGTACATACTTAACGCATATGCACATAATGCATACACATATATGCATCTACATACATATACATGCATATGTACATGCATGTGTATGCGTGTGTATACATGTAGATATATATGCATGTATGCATAACTAGTTTGATCATTTGAAGCCTGAGTTTCATACCTGTGGCTTAGTACGTGCTAAATGTGTTAACTCTCCATAGGGACAGATACTCCACTGGACAAACTGCCATTGAAATAATAGAACTATATGGTTCACACCAACTGAAAGTCTGCTCCATGATGCTTTAAGGGCTAGCTTAGCTCAGAAGGCTTTTGAGAAAAAATTAACTTCCTCTGAAAAATTCTTAGATTTCTGTTTTTTCTCTTCCTTTCTGTCAGGTGCAGTTATAATACTTCTAATATAAAGTAACATTGATTAATAAAAATATAGATTATGTAGTACATAACAACATTCTGGTGGAATAGTCCTTTTCAATTCATATTCTCTTTAAATTTGTAGTGTAAAGTAATTGTCATGGAACAAGATTATCTGCCTTTCATACCTCTGTAGATGAACTTGACATTCGCTTGTCTCACTAGGTCCCAGAATACCTTCACCATGTTAATAAACGTTTGGAAGAAGAAGGAGACAGAGTAATAACATATTTAGACCACAGCACACAGTGAGTACAAATGTTGTCATTCTTGGCATAAGTCAAGCATCCCTCATAAACAGTGTGATTATCTGTGGTTGTAGAGACACACAGATTATTGCTGCATTATCTTACAGATATTATCTTGTTGACAGTGCTTGTGATACAGCTTGGTTTTTTTAAGACTTCATTTTTATCAAAACTGATTTCTTTAAAATCAAAAGATTCTTTGAGTAAGAGGGGAGAAATTTGTCCAGAAAGATTTATAGGTGTATACTGAAGTTAACAAAACATTATATAAGAACTCAAATTTGCGTTATTGAAGTAGCAGCTGATTTTACTCATTCGTGTACTAATAACAACATTGACCACAAATCCCTTGAGGGAAAGAAAGACTCATTAGGCAAAAAAAAAAAAGGTTAAATTATGGTGTAGGATAGAGGACATGAACACCACTCATGAACAGTCCAGGATGTCAACTTAACAGTAGATCAGCTTTGGTGCAGCTGCTGCCAATGTATTGTGCAAGGTAGCTTGTCCTTTTTTTACTCAGGTGTTGAGTAATATGTGTGTTTTGCTGGGGTAAGAGTGTGCATTCAGGAAGTACTGCAGAGTCACTGACACGCTATAAATCCATATATAATTTGTCCTGCAGTAAGCTGTTGGGGTTTTTTTGGTTTGTTTGTTTGTTTTTTAAATAAAGAACATAACAGTTAATAAAGAACATAACAATTTATTTTATTTTTTAGTTTTCTGGGTGATGTATTGGCATTTCATTGGGTGTTAAAAGGATAACTGAATAAAAATTATCTCTTTAACTTAGTATTTTCTTCAGACATATTTTATATATATATTCACACACAAATGGGTTGCGTGTCATGGTACGTATTTGAACCCGAATCATCTCCCTGTAAATGCTGATTGCAGGGTGACTAGCTTTTTCTGGCAAAATCACTCACACAAAAATATATGGAACTGTTTCTATGCATGAAGTTAAAGCTTATATATATTTCTTTGCTGTTTAAGTTAAAAAAATAGGTTGATATCATTACGTTTTCTGTCTAGATATACATCAAGTCCTTGCTTTGAATCTCGTCGTTAGTTAAAGGCTTAGAAACCTGCTTTTAGAAGGCTTTGCACTAATTTCCTTTCTTTGCATTAAGAAACAGCAGTTATTAAAATTAGTGCCCTTGAGTTGTCCTCAGGTCACACTGTCTCTCCGGGTGTGCATGAAAAGAGCAGGAAGGATGTTAAATTTAGTTACTGGGTTTGATCTTGAGATGGGAATGATACTTCCAGGACAAAACCATCATGGGAAACACCATTCAAAATACTTCAAACCAGATTTGTGCAACAGATGGGGAGTGTGGTGTTGCAGCCCGTAGAGGGATTTATTCAGCCCATCAGTACATGCCTTTCTGGGCAGCTGACCAGAATAAGCACATCTCCTGGCCGGTCAGTAGATGACCGAGGTAGATGACTTTGAGGCCATGCAAAAGGTACCTTCAGGCTCATTCATTAGCTAGCAGTCAAGATAAATACTCATTCTGTCTGCTTGTCAGGAAATAGTGCTCTGCCACTCAGTCTCAAGCAGATGAATTGTCCTTACTTCCCCTGTAGGCAGAATAGGTCTTCGAGGGCAAAGGATGGTATTTTATACAACCTTGACTCCTTCTATTGTTGGACACAGTCAGCAGCTGTAGATAGCAGTAGTTGGAAATTTTGGGAATTTGGAAGTGACCATAAAAATGACCATATGTGTTAAGACCAAGAGTCTGTCTAACTGGTATTTCATCTTTGCTTATGACCACTGAAAGGAAAAAATGAAGTAAGTATATGTGATGCCCCGATACTCTCCTAGTGTCTGCCTGTTTTCAGCTTAGAGTATTTTCTGAACCTGATGTGGTTTGTCTGTTTGGATCGCTTTCAAACACTTGCACTGTCTCACTGGGATTCACATAAGCTTGTCCATCTGTGCCAGCCTTTGGCAAAGCGTTCCACCGGTGCAGTAGCCACCACGTGATAAATTGCTTCCTTTTGTTTAACTCTGGCTCCCAGTACCGTCACTGATGACTCCAGTTCTTGCACTGAAAGGGAAAGTGATCAGTCAGTTCCCTTCCACCTTTTCCCTCCCTGCCAGTGCACTGTATCCCTGCTAAGTCATCTCTTTCCCAGAAAGAAGAGTGCTAACACATAGAGTTGTTTCTCTTGTAGCTGCTGCTGCATGCTTTGATCATCCCTGTTCCCTTCTCTGAACCTTTCCAAGTTCTAGTTTAATCTTTTTGAGATGAAGGGACTAAAACTGTGTATTGCATGGAGGTCAGGCGAGTCATTGATGGGCTGTTTCAGGAAAGGTGGTGTTTTAGCAAAGGTAGGGACGTAAAGTGGATGCTGCTACATAAAAGGCTTCCATCAATCCAAGTTGAGCACCTCTCTGCTAGAAAATCTAAATTAAGGGTGTTTTATAAAACTTAGAAAGAAATGGTTGGTCTTTTGGTGTCATATTGTAAGCAGCAGTAGAAGTTGAAATGTTGAAATCATCCCTTAGCACTTCAGGCATTTCTTTCTTCTTTTAGGCTATAAAAGACGTAAAGGAAAACTTGCCATTATTTTTCATTCCTGTCTAAAGTGAATGTATCAAACAAATATTTCACTAATAGTAAAAAGTAGGGAAAATTCAAGGACAAATTTAAAATGTTTTGCAAATTTGAGTCTTGTGGTTCTAGCTCAATTTATGCTTATGTAGGTGCGTAACACAATTAGATGAAAAGTTTCAGTTTTGAACATCACCAGCATGTATTGTGTTGTTTTGGAGTTCAAACTGTTGGAAAGTTTTGTTTTGTTTTGTCATTTTGTATTGTTTTGTTTGCTTGTTTCCAAGAAAACATCAATTTGACTTTTTTCCAGAAACATTTTTGTATTGATTTTTGGTATCTGAGCTTCTCTATTCTACTGTGTAAGAACTTGCTTTTTAGTATTGAAGCCTGAATTTCTTTTTTAATTATATACATGCTTTATTTTCTTTCTTGACTTACATCACATGTGACATTTTTGTCTTAATTTGTACCCTCTGTTTTAAGTAGAAAATCGTTGATTTTTTTTTATTATTGTTATAGTGTAAGTTATTCACAAATACACTGTGACAGGAGGCAATTCCCTTATACTGCGATATTTCTAATGTACTTCTCTTGCCTTATTTAGGAAACCACTGATTGCTTGTGTGGAGAAACAGCTGCTAGGAGAACACTTATCAGCTATTTTGCAAAAAGGTATTTTTTTTTTTTAATTAATGTAATATCTGATAACAGATTCTCATACTCTGCAATAACTATAAACTCTACAGTTTAGGAATTTAAGGAGGTATATTAGCCATGGGAAAAACTTCCACAGATAGAGAAAGCCATCCCTATGACTGTTACACCCACTGTGACAAGTAAATTGTATACGTGGAAACAAATATCTCAAATATAATTCCATATTTGTAAAGGTTGCTAAAAAAACCCTGAGCACTGCTCGTAAACATTCTGCAAAAGGCAGAACACCTTGTTGGGAAAGTACTTCAGTTGAAATAGTTTTAAAATATTATACCATAAGTCATTTCAGCCAGTTTAAACAAGGGGACATGTTAACCCTGAACGTATTGCTTACTTTAAGAAATTTAGTCTTAAAAAGTTCATATTTTTTAAGCACACTGGAGGCTCTTGTCTTTTGATGTATTTCATAGAGATTTTTCTAATATATTTCTAAATGTATTTGTGCAATTGTATTCAAATTTGCTTGCTCTTCTAATTTAATTTTTTTAGGACTTGATAACCTGCTCGATGAAAATAGAATATCAGATCTGACCCAGACATACCAGCTGTTCAGCCGGGTAAAAGGTGGGCAGCAGATCCTTTTGCAACATTGGAGTGAATACATCAAGGTATTTCAAAGATCTCTTAACTAACGTCAAAATTTATGCTGTTACCATGTATTTCTTCTATGAAAACCAAGAATAATATGTAGGTGTATGCATGATAATTCTGTTTTAAGCAAATACGGGGAGGGATGTTAATGCTTTCCCCCCGATAACAGTCACATAATGAGAAACAGCAACACCTAAGTTTTGGTTTTAAACTTCTACTTGGAAATTGCTTTCCTTGTAGGTTTGAACATTATACAAGAAGTTATTTTGTTTTGCTTTGCTCTTAAATAGAAGGACATACACATGTATTTAGAGTATGCTGGACTGTACTATGTGTTGTGTTTTGCTACAAATACCCTCAACTGTTTACATACCTGCAAAATCCAGTGAAACATCAGAATGTAGCTATTCTGCTGCAGGTTAGCAGTGCTACATGCAACCAACCTACAACAATGCTGATGAATGTTTAAGCTATTTGGAACAGAATACTCCTCTTGAAAATAATCCATCATCAAAGTTGTGTTTAGATGCTTCAGGTTTGTTTTGCTAGGCATAATATGCATATAGTACGCTGCCCCAGAGAGCTTGCACTCTAGTGCTCTTGCAAGATGAAGGCAGGAGAGCTTCACAGAAGAGATTTCTCTCTGGAGTGGATAATTCCTGATGTGGTGCTTCTCCCCTGAATCACCCATGGGTTCATCACCCTTCAGGACTAAGTGCACAACATCCGTTCGTTTCGGAGGTGCCTTTCCTGCACACCCACGTCTGGAGTTTGGCATCGTTCACCACCAGCGTGAGCCCACGGACGTGGGACTACGGTCCCCCCTCTGCCCCCCAGAACCGAGGTGGAGTTTGCTCCGCAGGGTGTCGTCCAGCCCGTCGATCCGTAGGCAGCTGAGAAGGAACATCTTCCTTGCTCCCAGATCACACTCCTGAATTAACCCTTGTGCTGCCTGCCACTCCGTAGACCCTTTTGTGATCTGTTGTAACACAGTACCTGGGCAAGGTCAGCTTTATGCCAGGTTTAGTGAGCTGAAGATGCTCACAGAAAAGTCTATAGCCCAAGGAAAGAAGCAGGAGTTTGGGACAGGTAGGAAAATAAAGAAAGGACGACCAGAACCTCTCCTTTCACAGCGGCAAGTTGTTAAGTTGGCTTATCATACCTTATGTCTCACAGAATCAGACTTTTTGTGGCTTGCTTTTTAAGGCATTTTTCTACAGACTCAAAAAGCTAGAAACCATTTTCTATAGTGTCAGTGAATCTCCTCCTTTCAAACATTCTGTATGACAGAACGTGTTGAAGTGAGGCTTCAAGAACTTTTATCTTGTGAGCCAATGTAAGAAGAAGCACAGAGAGCATGCCAGGTTACTGGGGTGAAAGTCTGTGCTCTACTGTAGAAAACTTTTTATGATTTCGGAGGTGTCACTTAGCTTTCTTGTATCTCAGTTTGCCATTCGCAGAATGAGGGGAATGCCCTGCAATTTATGAACATAACCGATAGAGGCTGTGAGATGTCTAAATGCTGTGTTAATGAAGGGGAAATTGTGCGAAATGTAAGATATGATGGACTAGATGATCTTCAGAGGTCCCTTCCAACCCAAACCATTCTGCAGTACACCTATTGAATCTAAGGACCTTGGGCAGCCTTGTGTTTGGCTTCACTCTGAAATCTTACTTGAGAAAGATCTCGATGAAAGATCACAGTGCATAATTAGATATTGAAGCGGAAATTCTGAGATTTGGGAGGGATTTCCCCATCTCTCATTGACTGTTGTTGTGGCTAACATACTTCAGGTGATGAAAATACACGGATTGAGTGCTGTTTTGCTGTTTCTGTTCAGATGTTCCTCTTTCTCACCTTGGAAAACTGACCATTCTGTTTAGGGTGCTGATTAGTGTTACTAAGCAATTGTAAATAGTCTGATAGGTTAAAATCCTCCCTTACAGGATATTTTGGTTTACTAGACAAACAGTATTGTATCTCTGACTTTTAAGATAATAAATGTAGGAACAAGAAAAGAAAGTCAAGTCTGTGGCTGCTTCTTGAAAATGGGAAAGTTTTGTTTTATTGCAAGTCAGCTAGTTTTTTTTGCTTTTAAGCCCTTGCTGAAAGAGAAATCTCGGAGTGATGAGCAGCAGTTGCATTTTTGCCACCAGTTCCATCAATAGAGCTCTGTAGTAGATTTAAGAAAAATAGTGCAAAGTTTTCCACTACACTTAACATTTCTGAGGCAGTTGCCATATAATTTCTTTTATATGAATCATGTAGTTCTGTATCTAACTGTGAACTTGCACTTCATAGAGTCATGTCTACTGTGTATTTTTTTATTTATTGGTTTGGTTTTTTGTTTTTCTTTTAGCTTTTGTCTTAAATGTATATAATCTTTAAATCAAACACTAATGTTTGAAATCCATTAATGTGTGTCTGGGTTTTTATTTTGAATTTCAATGCATCTCATTTTTTGAAAACTTGGAAGTCACATAAGTAGCTCTGTAAAAAAAATTATTCTTTCTAATGATATAAGGGTAAATGTGTCTGTTGGGGGAGATAGGTAGCACTCTAAAGTATTTTATTATCAAAAGTGTTTGTTTTACAGAACTTTGGGACAACAATAGTGGTTAATCCTGAAAAAGACAAGGATATGGTGCAAGAGCTACTAGATTTTAAGGATAAAGTGGACCATATCATAGAAGTGTGCTTTCAGAAAAATGAGAAATTTATAAACTTGATGAAGGAGTCCTTTGAAACATTTATCAACAAGAGACCAAATAAGCCTGCAGAATTGATAGGTACACAAATATTTTTCTGTAAAATATTTTGAAAATCTATAGAGAGCATGATAAGATAATGCTGCTGAGTGTGCTAGTGCAATAGCGGTGCAGTACGCATTCTGCTTTAGGAGACTCATTTTTGGGATACGAGGCAAAAGTTAACCTGGGAGCGTTGCGGGTTCAAAAAGCTTGGGTGTGCGGTTAGGTGTGTGCGCGACGTCCTGACGGAGCATGCCAACTTCTGCTCTCCCTCCGCTCTGCTTCTTGCACGGTGCCTGGTGCTAACAACTGCTCAGAGAGCGTAATGCTGATGCTACAAGTGGAGTAAATGGTTAGGGGGAAGAGTAGCTTTGGCAAAAAAAAAAAAGGGAACTGTTTTCAGTTGTGGTAGTAGAGGAGTTCTTCGGATGTTATGGATCTCTCAGAGAGGACTAAGTACAGCCCATCTATCTGCCTTGAAGGCTGAAGTTGGGAGAACAATTTTAAAGCCTTCAGATACAAGGAGTTTTAATAGCAAAAAAAAAAATTATTACCTTGAAGGGGCACTAGTGCTCATTAAGGGGAAAAATAATAAAAACGTCTTAAAAATACTGTTACTGGGTTTATCCCTGATCTGGCAAAAGCTGTTCTGACTGTTTTGCCTGCAGCAAAACTGGAGCTGTAGCATTTTACACCGGGAGAGGATCCCAATCCTTTGTTGTTTGTTTTTCCTCTGTACGTTCTTTTGCCTTTATTCACCTTATTTTGTGGCGTCCTTCTAAAACCAGCTTTATGTATGACAAATTGCACAACCTGGTGATACAGGTTAAAGCCATGATACGGGCTGCTGTCATTTGGGGATTGTGGTGTTTCAGCTCCTGCAAAGGTTTCCTTCTTACGCAGAAGGTTGTGTAAGGATACTAATGTGGCTTAATAAATACATAGCTAAACTCATGGCTTAACCTTATTTCTGGCATTCTGAAGCTACTAACTTGAAAGCATTGCTTCTGTTTAAATTTTGGTACGCTCCTGTGAAGGAGCATGAGGAACATGGTAAAGGTCTACAGAAATATAGTCCTTTTTGTGTTGTTTGTTTCTGTTTCTCATAAAATACATTCATATGCATTGTACACTTCCAAAACATTGTCTTTCAACAAGTAATGTGCTTGCTACGACTATTTAAACAAAATGTAGGAATTTCTAATGCATTATTTTTCATGATTATACTGTATTCATTTTCTTGGACGGTTCCTTTTTTGTGATATTTTTCCATTATGGCAGTAGTACAGTAGGGCTCTATCAGTCCACTAAACCTAGGGATGGGAAAAAGGAAAATAGAAAATGTAACACTTGTATTTTAACATATAGTAATATTTAACTTATAGTAATATTTCAAGTGGGAGATGCTTAAGTTGGTTATTTTAGATTATTTTTTTAAAGCTGTTAAACTGTTTTATTTATTTGTAGCAAAATATGTGGATTCCAAGTTAAGAGCTGGTAATAAAGAAGCAACAGATGAAGAGCTGGAAAGAATCCTTGACAAAATCATGATCATATTTAGATTCATTCATGGTAAGAATAGCAGTTCACCGTTGATGCAGTTAAAACTGTTTTTATTGCTACTAGCAGAACTGCATTCCTCTGAATGTAAGAAATCTTTTTTAGCATGAGCTTCTGCTCGACTTGGTCTTAAATTCAGTTTGCCTTACATCTGAAGGAGCACAATAAATACACGAGGGAGGACAAACTTGTTCTATGGAGATTGGCATGTTACAGACCTTTCACAGTCTGTGAGTGGAGACCTAAGAGTTAGAGCTGTTGGTGGAAGTTTTTTCACATAAATTAACCATATCTGTAACCACAACCTCTCCTCTAATGACAGAGAACAGAAAGGATAGTGCAGATTTTCTCTTCCCTGCCCACCTCAGTATGTCGTAGGTGCAAAGTATGTGAAAACCCAGAAACTAATGACTTCTCTTTTCTCATCATGGCTGAGAATGAACACAGAGGATGACTCAGAATGATGGGAGAAAATGTTATTGCTGTGTTTTACTGCTTTTGAAATGCACTTCCCTTATGTATGTCCCTATCTGAGCAAAACCCTTGAATGTGTTAGGAGAATTTTTAATTTTTTTTCCTAGGTTGGATATCAGAAAAAAGTATGTGGTTGAGTCCAAGAGGCGCATGGTCACTATTTTGAGGGAAGTGGGATGTGCATCCCAGCCTGGGGTGGAATAAGCAGGAACTACCTAATTCTGTATTAGTTTGTTCTGAAATCTGTGGGGTTCCTTCCTCATAAAATCCAAAACAAGTACAAATAATGGGAAAGCAGACAAGAAATCAGTCATAAAGTAATATCATTTGCATCAAGATTTTTTTCAAACGCAGAGGGTATTGGATGGAGATGGTGAATGAAAAGAGTATCACTGGCAACTTGTCAGCCTAAGAGATTAATTTCTGTTAATCTGAAACTTTGACCAACTCTTTTCTCTTAATATTTTTCGTAGTACTGAGCTAAAAGTGCAAATTTATTTTGAGCCATCTGGTGCGTAAGAGTCCTTTTAAGAGCAGATGAAATTAGTAGTTTCTGGGCATTGGGCTTTTTGATAGTATCTTGATGCTGCTTCATGAAAAAGCACTTCCCTAGAGGGTGGGATGGAGAAGGAAGAAGAGTATCGGAGGAATCGCTATTGGAAGGTGTTTGCAAGGAACTAGGAGGGGCTACTGTAAGCAGCGCAAATAGTGCCTTGAGTTACACTGAATTTCTTCCTCTTAAAAGTGACACAACTTGCTGATATCTTCGCACTATCAATAGAAAAGGTTTGCGGAAGCTGTGGTTTAAGGTGTGAAAGTTTGTGGGTGCCTGTATGACTTCTTTATTTCAAAAGGTGATTGGCAAACCAAGTCAGAAGACTTCTGTCAATTTTTCTTCACCTTAGGCTTTTAAAGGATATTTCTTTAATACATAGGGACACTTTTTCTTTTTTTTTATTTTAATAAATCAGACCACTGAAGGGAGAGTGTTCTTCTGGAACCCAGAATAATTTAATGTGATTTGCAGCTGATCTGATGGGAAATAACAAGGCAGCCCATGTTCCTGGGCGGGAAAAAAAAAAGAAAGAAGTAAAAATTTTGCAACATATGTTAAGAAAATAATTAAAATACAAAAAGAACAAGTTATCTAAATGTTTTTCTTCACTGTTGTGTAGTGAATATTGTTCTGATCAACATGTGTTGAGAAACGCTTGTGTCACAAACCTGAAGTGCAATGACGCAAGTAGAATGTATGATTTCAGTTGTATTTTGTTTTTGTTTCCATTTCCATACAGGTAAAGATGTGTTTGAGGCATTTTATAAGAAAGACTTGGCCAAAAGACTGCTGGTTGGAAAAAGTGCATCAGTAGATGCTGAGAAGTCCATGTTGTCAAAGCTTAAACATGGTAGGCACTTTCAGATGTGTTAAATTTTTATTACTTTTTGGCATGTAAATTGGAATCCTTATTTTCTCACACTTTAAGAAGTGACAACCCAGATCTTAAGTAATAGCTGAGCATATCACAGCTTTCATTGTGCTCAGCGAGAACTATTGGGGTAACCTCTTAGATATGCGGCTGGTTCATTTAATGTACCTACAGAGGAGCAAAATCCTTAAAACTTGTACCTGTTTGTGAGTGCTCCATAACCTGGCAAATCTGGCTCAGCTGTCTCAGGTTAAACCTTTATTGCTTGTTCCGTGCTTCTTTGTAATTGTGGGATATTTGCTTTAATTTGTGTGACAGAATGTGGCGCTGCTTTTACCAGCAAACTGGAGGGCATGTTCAAGGACATGGAACTGTCAAAAGATGTCATGGTTCAGTTTAAGCAGGTACATTTAGCTTCTGTTTGTGTACTAAATTTTCAAGAGTGATGGGGAAGCACTTAATGGCGTTATACCTTGGATTAAGCTAAAATTAAACAAAACAGCTTTTGAGCAGGTGCTCGTCATAGTAACAGAGTCTACTTCTAGTTCTATTGATAGAATGGAATTTATTGTATATCTATTCAGAGATAACCTACTTTACAGTTTTATTTGATTCCTTTTAAAGTAAATGACAGTCTAAATACCACATAGTAATTTAGTTGTCTGACATCCTTTAAAGTCCATACCCCTTCATTCTGTAAACTGTTGCTGCTCTGATGAATTCTTTGTGAATAACCCACACCACAGAAACTCTCTGGAGGTTGCTCAGTGCACAGAAACCCTGTATGTCTCAGCCCCAAAGCTTCCAACCTGTTGATAACCAAGGAATTGCTTGGAGGAAATACTGTATATGCTGTGAACTGTTGTTGCAATTCTCCCCGGGTACCTGTTTTGGGGCCTTATTGAAGACAGGGTACTGGGGTAAAGATCTGACCCAGGACACCTGCTCCTGTAATAAAATACAGTAGTGACTTTTCTGTCCCAGGCTTTGCAGCCTGGCTTGACTGATACTATGCTCAAATTATATGAAAATGTTTTGTCTGTGGAAGTCCCAGGGGATCCTTTTTGATCTTATAGTTCTTGCCCTGGCTTCTCATCAAAAGCTTTTCTTTTGCTTTACTTGCATGTCATTGAAGTTCCTTTGACCTTAATACCCTGTAAAGACAGTGGGCTAGGGTACTTCAAGGCACGTTGTTCTTTTCTTTCTACTTCCAGCCACTTGCTGTGTTTTGAAATTGGGGAGGGGGGCATTAAATAGTCATTCAAAATCCTGGTAGAGCATGTCTAACCAAGGATGTGGCCTGTAGAAATTTTTTTATTGTTATGCTAATTTTACATTTTGAATTTAAGTATATATATTTTCTAATTTAGCATGCAGACAGTATACTTGAATTATTTTTGTCTCTTGTATTTTAGTATATGCAGAACCAAAGTGACCCAGGAAATATAGACCTGACAGTAAATATATTAACTATGGGATATTGGCCAACTTATACACCTATGGAAGTCCACTTAAATTCAGAGGTTAGTGTTTGAATTCTTCTTCTAAGTGTACTTTACAGAGTGGTTATCATAGGGTGAGCTAATGCCCGTTGTTTAATGTTTTTCTGCTAGATATTTAAGGGGTTTATCTCATTTTAAAGATTCCAAAATTGCAAAAAATAAAATGCAGTGGATAAAATCCACTTTTTTTTGGACGATTGTTTCACTTAATGTGTTTTTTTACCGTGTTAATAATAATAATAATAATATAAAATTAGTATTAAAATAAAATCAGTGTCCTGCTTAACATTGCAGTCAACCACTTAAAAGTTTAAAACAGGACAGTTCACCTTAATTTAGTCAACCTTTAACTACATTGGTTAGGTGTTTTGATCTAGCCAATAGTTATGTTACTGCACATTCTTTTTTTCTGTAAGATCCTTCCTCTGTTCCCGGCAATGTGTCACACAAAACTAGCCCCTGCATTTAAATGGCATTTGCCTGAAAAAAGATTGCTTCCAAGTTGAGAGATTTTTGCAAAGTTCCTATCGGTAGCGATTTAAGTTGAAATATGTATTCGGAGTCCTATCTCCTGCAATACCTTGCTCGACCTGAAATGTGGGGAGCACTTCAGAGGCGAAAGGTGATAGCAGGGTTCCCGTTCAGTTCAGAAGATGTGGAAGCTTTTGTGCTCTTGCTCCTGCGCCGTCTTTTTCTCCGTAGCAGACTACTTCGGAAAGATCCAATCTGAGTGACACGTCATGAAAACGGAGGGGTAAAACCCCCTTTCTTGGAAGTAAGAGGGTATAAAGTACTGGAATCAGACTTGAATCTGTATAGGACAAACTAAAGGAAGAACTGGGGAGCAGATGGCAATAGTCAGTGTATAGGTGTGAGATGTACGCTTTTCGTCTGGTGACTTCTTGGTCAAAGCCCAGGACAAAACTAGTACTCATTTTTGAGGTTTAAAGCCCTTTACAGGGGGTTTATTTTACTTTTATTTAAAACAAACAAACAAAAAAAGAAGAAGAAAAAAAAGAACTTAAAAGCTATTTTTGAATTGAGACTTTCTTTTGTGCATAATAGTACCAGTGTACTTGAGAGCAGAATTTTGCTCTTTGGATTTAGTTTTTCCATGCAAAAACACTTATTATGAAACATTGCTGAGGAGAATAAAGAAATTACATGTGTGAAATCATCCAGCATCACTGCACTGGTATAATGTTAATAAACATTTTTCTCTCTGCTTTACAGATGATAAAGCTTCAAGAGGTATTTAAAACCTTTTACCTGGGAAAACACAGTGGTCGAAAACTTCAGTGGCAGACCACTTTAGGGCATGCTGTCCTAAAGGCGGAATTTAAGGAAGTGAGTTTGCTTGTTTTAATGCTTAGACTGTTGGGATAAAATTTAAGTCAATTATTTGGAATCTAGTCATGTATTGTATTTTTTATAAAGGTAGTAACATTTTTGTGGAGGAACAATCACAATTCAGTATTGTTATTTTGTATAGAAAGTAGGCTTTTTATAAATAAACTGAAATACTACGTAGCTAACAGAAGACAACAATGTGATACCTTTTGGTAACATTTGTGTTACTTGATAGGAATAGTTGCTCAGTCGAATAAAGAAAGTTGTAATAAAGTAAGAAATTAATGAAAGAAAAAGAATGCAGCATCCTTCTATTTTTAATATGGAATTGTTTTGATCATAGAAATAGTGGTGATGCTTTTAGTGTGCTTCACTGATACAAAAAGAGACTGAAGAGTGTTAGTCATGTAATGACTGTGGTTAAAATTTAAATGCTTGTTGAATTATTTAAGTCTTAAATAACCACATTGTTTCTTAATGTGGTTTTGTTTTGTCTCATGGAGTACTTTGCCTTGCTAATAATGCAGCTTAATTGAGCCAGGGCAAAGACAAAAAAACCCTGAATTCTTTTACTAACTCATTGTGAATATGAAACTTAGAGGTTTAGGCATTATGTAACAGTAAGATGGATAGGTTTGTAGTTGTTGATTGACTAAACCAAAATTATCTTTTGTTTCTTTCATATTTGGTTCAATGCCAAGATTTCTTTTGTGTTAGTTTGCGCATCTCTATAAAATGAAACTTGGGTGAAGTATGAAGAGATTCGCCGTTGATGGCAGCAAAGCCAGAATTTCATATATTGTAAGGAAAATGAAGTAAATACAAGGCCATTCTAATGAGCTTCTGCTGTGTGCTGTACTGCTACTGTTAGAGGAGGAAAAAAAAAAGAGGTTTTAAAAATGTCCTGTTTCCTTAATACTGCATTCAGGCAGATTCTTCTGTGTGCTAGACATTCTAAAATGCACATCTTTTCTTCTAGAAATAGAAAAAGGAATGTATAGCTTCTGTAACTTGTCAGATTTGGGGGATACAATAGAAAATGCTCTGAGTATTATTTCTAATTATTTGATATTTCTTTTTTAGGGAAAGAAAGAATTTCAAGTATCACTCTTTCAGACACTAGTGTTGCTTATGTTTAATGAAGGAGATGAATTCAGTTTTGAAGAAATTAAAATGGCCACTGGTGTAGGTAGGAAGAATACTTTTCTAATTCTTAAATTTATTCATCAACTGATTGCCAGTTGTGATTTGGTATGCAAAGGCCTAATTTTAAGAAATTTGCTATGATCATTAGGACAAACTTTATGAGTCAATAGTATATAGACACCAAAAAAGATGAGGAAAACACACTGCTGGTACTTCCTAGTGTAGATAAAAGAGATGCTTCACAAAATTAATAGTGAGAGCTGTGTAGCATATGGTACTACTAACAACCTATTAGACTTAAAAAATGTATCATTGCAATTCTTAAAATTCAAGTGGTGATAAAGCCTGTTGTCTGTACACATTATTTTTTTGTTCCTTTACAGTTTCAAATACTATATTTTGAAAATGATCTGGTTTAGAATGCTGTCATTATGGGGTGATTCAAGAGAGTATTTTCAGTTGAACTGTTCTGAGAGCTTGCCCACCTGTATTCCATGACTGTTGCTGGAGTGCCCATTTACAGTAGGTCTGATTTGTTAAGAAGAACAGTGTCCTGGTAGGGTGTATACTTGGTAGCTGTCTCCCTCTGCACTTGAAAGCCAAAGGCAGAACGGACAAAGAAAACTGAGGAAAAGTATCATTTTCTTTTTAACCGTCTGCAGTATCTGCCTTCTGTGTTCTTATGCTCTTGGATGATTTTTTTTTCCCCCCCGAATTTTTACCCTTCCTTGAATTAGTTACAGCCATTGGCATTAAAAATGATAACACTATCATCCTTTTACTCTCTGGAACTTCTGCATCAACCAGCAGGTTATACCCAGTAGCCCTTCACATGTTGAATCTTAAGACCAACCCAGTACAGCAACTGCTGAAAGAGTATTTGAACCCATACAAGTACTAAAATAATGTGAATATATTTACTAAAATACTGTAAAATGGGGATATCGGGAATCCCTGTGGCTCAGAATGATGCATTGCAGAAGGCAGTACAGCCTGGGTGCTCCAGCTTGTCAGCATCAGTGCTTCAAGTTGCTTAGTCATCCACTCCATGAATGCTAGGGGAGCTGAAGAAAACTAATGCCAGTGTGAATGATAAGCATGAGGATAGTCCAGAGAGGCTCATTAGGTCAGAGTACAGTGGTTACAGAACAAACATAAGTTCACGCAAGCCTGATCCAGATCCTGCTTTCTCATCTTGTATTGCTGTACCTTGGAGCTTGCATTCTGGCTGCCTAACAGCAAGAGATAAAATCTGCTGCATGGAAATCCATTCCGTTATAGCACAATAGAAAGGATTTCAGTAGACTGTTTTTAAGGCAGCTGGCTACAATTGATAGTTGGGAGCTACCTGTATTATGTTATGTCATTGCACTGAGTGCCATGTCTGTGTTTCTCTCCCCTGTGGGGAAATAGTATAGGAATGCAGGTAAGGAGGACAGTTCATGGTCCATGGGGTTCCTGTGGGGCCAGGATGAATGACATAAAATCTCTGTCTTCCCAGGCTCTACCTATCCAAGGCATTCGCAGCTGCTTTAGAGAGGTCCCATTCCCACCCAGCAGTCTCCCTAATTCCAGAGAAGAGGCAACTCTTATGGCCAGAAATTATGTCAGAAATAGGTCCCACACTGCGCCCTTCCTGCCTCCTGCTACTTGGATGATCCTTTCGCTCAGCAGTACCTGGCCGCAGGCTGCCCTCCTGGCTAGTTCGAAAAGAACAGTGATTCAGTTATTAGAAAAAGCAGCTGAATTTGTGATGCACCACAAAGGGCAGAGGTGCAGACGGCCAGAGTCTCAGAGACCACCCTGCATGAACCAGAGGTCCTAGCTCATGGGTACAAATTACAGGACGTGGTAGAAATCCTGGAGGGCAAAACCTGGGCAGTAGGGTTGCCATAGAAACTGTTTCTAAATGTTCTAAACACCATGTGCAGGGCTCAACAGACAGGCAGAACTGCAATGTATGTTTGAAAAAATGACATACAGAAGAAGTTCTGGATTTATTAGGCAGTAGGAAAGCCTTTGAAACAAGGGGAACCTGTACAAGAAGGGTGGGCTTCATCTAAATTGAAAGGGAGTTGCTGGCACATTTTAATGTTTTAGAAAGTCTGTAGGGTTTGTCAGACTTCTTCCTCCACCATCTAAAAATAACATAGTGGATCTGAGAAGAGTTCGGAGAATGGCAATAAAGATGGAAGACATGGGACAGCTTCTTTAGAAGGAACAGTTGTATGTGCTAGGACTAAACTTAAATAGACCAAAAGGTAAAGAATAAAGTGATAAGGATTTGTTTTCTTACTCAAAAAAAGCTAGAGGGCAAAAAACTGAAATGAGCACATGGTGAAAACTAAACAGCATGTTGTAAAAGCTGAAAGTTTACAGAGTTCAAGGGGACAGGTTCAGGGAAGAGCAAAGCACTGAAGGTTTCTCAACACATAGAAACCACCTCTGGCTTAGGAAGTCCTTGAGCCCTAAGTGATTGGAGACTGAGAGAGCGGTAGGATGGGGAGAGGAGGAAGAGCAGGGAAGTGTGGAGCTGTATTAGCTCTATTTGCTCTTATATGCTGCTCTGTGCTCATCTGCTCGTGGCCACTGCTGGAGACAGTGCTGGGCTAGATGGACCTTCTGGCCCAGGGTGCCTGTTCTTCGGTTCTAAACTAAACACCGAAAGGAATACTGAACCTCCCAACTCTGAAGAACTGGCCCTAATCACTTCCTTTACTTTGGCGTTCACATGTGCCAGCTCTTTCTGGGAGGTGGTGGAAACCTTGTGCAGTTGTTAGTGAATTAACATTTGTTTATGTTGAGACCCTATTATGAGGTGTTACCCAGTCTTTGCATATTTGTGTTTACTGCAGAAGAGTTCAGAGGGCCACGTACGTGCCATAGGGCAGAATGAAATATTGCAAGTTGAAGTGTCAGTAAGGGGTTTAGAACAGATGAGTAAATCAGACAGTAAATTAGACCACCACCAGCTGAATAGTATTCACCCTGAAGCTTTACAGGAATCTGTCTAGATTATAATTTAAGTGAGCCTTGGTGCAAGCTTGACAAGAGCAATGCTAAATTTCTAATCTATTTTTTATGTTCATGGGTTAATTCTGCAGATTACTGCAGGGTAGCACCTCTGTACTGGGAAGAACAGAATTGGTAGGCCCATGGATAAGTGTATATTAGGGAAAAGCCAGCATGATTTATGTGATGCATGATTTTCCTTTCAAATTCTTTGAGACAGTCAGCAAGCATATGCACAATCATAATTGTGCACTTGGCTTTTTAAAAGTTCTTGATAGGAGCTCCTCACAAGCTCTAAAATAAACTAAGTTTTCATGGCTTAAGAGGGAAGTTTCTCTTAGGGGTGAATAACTCATTAAAAGACAGAAAAGAACAGGTAGAAATGAATGGGCAGCTTTCACAGTGAAAGGAAGCTCTTATTTGGGATCCCCAGGTATTACTCAACATGGCCATTAATGATCTGACAAAGATGAATACTGATGTGACAGAATTTGGTGCCAATTCCTGAGGAAGGTCAAATCTGAAACATGTAAAAAAAAGTTAGAAAAGGATCTCATACTGTTGAATGATTGGAAGATCAAATGCCATCCAGTTACATTGCACTTGAGCACTAGATTGCAAAACCTTTCTTTTAATTTTTAGGCTAAAACTATGTTCAGGAGATCCAATACGTTTGGTGATAATTTTGTATTGTGAATAAAAGTATTCCAGAGGTTGCAGAGGCTGTTTTATTGCAAAATCTTGATACAAGACTTTGCAACCTAATTATTAGAATGTTTTAGACTTCATTTTATCTACTTGTCCAAATGCTTTTAGCTTTAAATCTTACTAGATAAAATTTTCCTCACCCACTTGTTTCTACTTCTTTCCTGTTGTGGGGGAAGTTTGTGACTGTCACAGCTGTCAGCTCTACCTTCTCACAAAACATCTTCCTATCAATTTAGACTTCTGGTTTTTTATTTTATTATGTATTTTCTGGTGTGTGTTAAAACTAGTGATGAAATCATAAAATGGGTGGCTTGAGTTTCTTGTCGTCAGCTCATTTTTTTTCTTCTAAAGTCCCCTTACTACCAAACAAAACTGAAGCAATAAAACCAGGCTCACATTAATGTGCAAACTTTTCTGACACTACTTTTGGATGGAAAGCTCACTGAGATGAGCTGGAGTCTGTCTTCCTGACACGCACCATTCTGTGCACGCTCTCAGCACTTACCTATGAAAGATGTGAGACCAAGCTTGAAGGCTGTGAGCTGATACCTAATTGGAACTTTGCTGGAAGAAGGTGTTAAGATAAAACCAGTAACTTTTCAGTTGTATTTCTAGATGAATCACATAAAACTCTTCATGTTAATGTTTTGTTCTGCTTTCTCCCATACTTTGAACTTTGTCACAGAGGACAGTGAATTAAGAAGAACCTTGCAGTCTTTAGCTTGTGGAAAAGCACGAGTGCTAATTAAAAATCCAAAGGGCAAGGATGTAGAAGATGGAGATAAATTCATCTTTAATGGTGATTTCAAGCATAAATTGTTTAGAATAAAGATCAACCAAATCCAAATGAAAGAAACAGTATGTATTTATTTTTTGCTTTCATTCTGTTTGTGTTAACTTTATCCACATGTCCCACATGAAGAGACAGAATCTCTGCATTTCCTCTTGTAGTTTTTGCGTATGGAGAAAGGAAACAGTTACTAAATTTTTTTGGTAGTCAGGATGACTTGCAGAGGCAATAAAGATTTCAAAACTCACTGAAATCGAAACAACTTAGGTTCCTTCCTGTGCTTGCAAATTTAAATGCCTTGTATATTAAACTGATAGGATCTTGTAGATGTTTCAGTCCACCTTAGTTTTTCTGTGGTATGGCTGAAGTGTTGGTACTATATTTTACTCATGAATGAAATGTCACCGTGTTACTTCTTCTCTTTATTTAGCAGGTAAGAGTGTTATTAAAGTCAGGGTTGTCCCTGTTTTTGCAGTGGATGTCGTTGTTGTACTTGAATCCCAATTCTTGACACAAGGTGACATGTTTTAATTGACACTGACTTGTTTCCTTTTTGCCTTTGCATATTAAAATCCCTAAAAGTCAAATTAGAGTTACATGTTCTTTCAAAAATCTGAAGTGAGTTTTTAAGATTTAGTTTAATTTATCAAATAGATTGAAAATAAGATGTACGTTATTTTTTTTCTTTACCCTTTTTCTTTATCCTTAATTTTATCTTTGGCTTGCTTTAGCAGTACACTTCAGAATCACTTAGCTCTTAGCATGCAGTAATGCATGCATCTGTCTCAAAGATGAATAAGAATACATGAGTTTCATTTCATTGTAAAGGTTAACTATAGAAATATAACTGATGAAAAAATAGCAATAAAAGGTGATATTCGTGGTGTTGCTCTTTAGGTCGAGGAACAGGTCAGCACAACTGAAAGAGTATTTCAAGACAGGCAATATCAGATTGATGCTGCTATTGTACGAATAATGAAGATGAGAAAGACACTTGGTCATAATCTCCTTGTTTCTGAATTGTATAATCAACTGAAATTTCCTGTAAAGGTAACCGATTTTGTTTTCCAAACTATCCTAGGATTATCTGAAAATGTAATATATTTTTCCATTCAGCTTGTCCATAAGAGTAAGAAATGTGAAATATGTCTGAATCAAATCCAAAGATTAAGGTATTAAAATGAGTGTGTGAACAGAAATAAGCCAGAGTATCAGTAGGAAATTATATTTAAATATTTACTATGGCACATTTTCTTATGTAGCTGTTAGCAGTCCTATTTTTAAAAACAAAATATATTTGCATTTTTATTACTAACTGCTATACTAATCTCATCTTTTCTTGTAGCCTGGAGACTTGAAAAAGAGGATTGAATCTCTCATTGACAGAGACTATATGGAGAGAGACAAAGACAACCCCAATCAGTACCACTATGTTGCATAATGGAGAAGAAATACTTTTATTTAAAAAAAAATAAAAAAACAAACCCAAAAAATAAAAACCAAAATCATCCACATATATCTTCTTCAGGACACCAAATACCTATGCTGTTCCCGACCTTCCTTTTAGCAGATTTCAGGTTGATGTATATTATTCAACCAGCTGCATGCACTGCTGTGGAAAAGAAGCAAAACAACATGTTAATTGATCATCCTTGTCAAGACTTCTTACTAATTTTAAATGTCATGTTTTTATTTCTTTTAGTTACTCTTTTGTTCTTTTGGGTTCTTCAAAATTCAGTTTTACAGTTTTGTTTAACAATGTCATTGAAGTTTGATGGAAAGGTAAAATTACCCGTGTGAGAAATACTCCTGTGATGGATGCAAGTCTGGTTTCTTCATTTACGTGTTCCCAACTGCATCCATAAAGACCCTATATGCTGCATTCTTTAGCTACAGTGACAACTTGGGTAACTTTTTAAAAACCCTTAATTGATGAACACTTATGTACAAGCAGTGTTGTTGAAATACACTGAATTTTTGGAATTATGCACCATGAAAACCCTTAAACTTGTGTTCAGTTAATTTTCTTTCAAATTATTATAAACTTCAGTCTGGTTTGGATAAATCAGGTTTTGAAGTGAGATCTTTGAAGTGCCAAGAGGACAACTGCGTTCATGTGTGTAGTGAGTTGTTGGTTTATTTAGCTAAGATATGGATTATTATTTTATTACTACTGCTGCTGGCTTGGGTGGCAAAGTTTAGATCTGAGTCAAAGAGGCCCTACCTCATTTTAGGGCAACTGGTGTTTATCACTGTTTAGGTAATTGCCGTAACATTTAGTTTTGCCTTGAAAATAACATACAGGGAACCTACTGTACAGCGTGCTCCACTTTAAAAAACAAAAACTTTTTTTTAAAAATACTTTTATGGTCTCGATATTGTGAAAGCATAGTTTTTTGTCTTGAAAGACTACGGATTTTGTGAGTACTTTGTTACATATTGTATATATGTAAGTTGATCTGAATTAAAGAATGAAAGACACTGTAGATCTGTTAGGTAATTGTAACTGTAAGGAAGACACCTTTTGTGGTAATACTTACAAGACTCTGTTTATTTTCCGGATTTGCATACTGGTGTGTTTCATTCTGAAAAAGAGCTACCAAAGGAGTTTTGATCATGGCATAAATGAGAATTTAACTGAGCAATATTTTCTCGAGAGAAACCTTAATAAATTTATGTAACATGGGGTTTGTGCATCGATTAAAAGGCCACCACCTCTTCTTGAAGTAAACTTCACTAAGAGTTGACATCTTGTGGATTTACGTATTAAAGTCCTTATTCTGTCATCTGGTGTCATTAATTGTATTGCATTCTTCTGAATTATTTTTGTTCCCTTTGTGTTTAGAAACTAAACACATTTAGTTTATTGTATTTAAAGCGTATTTAATATTGTAATTTAATGTAGACTTATTTTAATATTTGAATCTTCAGTTAATGCAAATAAAATCTTTGATGCATATTAAATATATTAATTTCTTAGCCTTTGTGGGAATGTGGCACTTCAGTTTATTTGTGCAGTTTGTTCTTTAGTGTTAATCATACCATTCACCTTGTAATGCACTTTCTGTGCAAATGGAAGCTGATCAGATCCATCTTGCTAGACTTTTAAAACAAAAAGGAGTATGTGCCTCACAGAACTGTAATGGCCAGAGGGTTTATCCACACAGAAATTTGGCAGTAGTATGCAGTAACTGATACCAAGCAGTGAATGTGTACTGCCTTCCCTTTCTGAACCCCAGCTTCCTGGTTCAGCGATTTTAAACAATAGACTAAAAGCAGTGGTGTTATCCTGAAGATGATTGATATGGTTCTGCCTTACAAAGCAATGTTAATTGATTAAAAGTGCTGAGATGTGCAGTATTTCTTAATTGCCATAGACTCTTTGGCCAAATTACTCTGGTATAGCAATTAAAAATGAGTTGTTCCACGAGCAGTGGAAATAATGAAGCCTGTCTTTGTGAGGTGCGCCCCTGTCCCCTACCTTATCATCCCCCCCAAATAACCTCAAGCAGCAGCAGTGCTGCAGAGGGTTTTTCTGCTTAGTTCTGCCTTTCTGCTTGTGGGAGCATTGGTTTTGTTCTCCTTTATCCAGCTGCTGATCTCCACCCATCTCCTTACCCCCCAAACCTGCAGAGAATGCCACGATCTCTGAAGATTTTTACTCTCCCAAATTGGTCTGAAAGTGGCTTCAGAGGTTTGAAAGCTATGGGAGAGATGGACGCACCAGGTGATCATGATTCCCTTTTTCTCAGGTCCTCATTTTTAATTTGATTTCCTCAAAATTCTCTTGCTGGGATTTTGGATTTTGTATATGCTGAACCGAACAGGTAAGCAGTTAGTTTATTAATCAGCATGGTAATCACTTCTTCATAGCAAAATAGCTGCATTTGATTGCTTTGTGATAGCTGGTGATAGAATTTGGCTGAGCATCCAGTCTCTACTAGCTGTGGGTTTGATGCTGGCTATTTGGGTTCACATCGCCCCGAGTTGTGCCCACAGGGCAGAGGTTGCTAAACATTTCTTCCTGGAAGATCACCCAGTCTTGAAGACATCAGGCTGTAGCAAAGCAAGATATTTCCTCTGTAGCACATCTATGTTCAGAAGACGTCTTGAAAACCTGGATCTTGCCAATTCAGCATCCTTGGAACAAATTGTGTAGCAACTTCTATGGAATGACAAATATAACAGCAGGAATCTGGGATTTAGGCAGGGGCTCTCCAATCTTACCAAAACCTTCCAATTTGACTTGAAACTTTCCAATTTAACTCAGTTTAACTTAAACATTCAGATAACTCATCCAGACTGTATGTTATATGTATTGAAAAAGCAGTTTTCCTAAATGTGATGCCCTGTCATCTAGCCCAACATTTCCTGGGGGAAAGTGAGTGTAAGACTCACCATGCAGGCTGATGGCTGACTTGCAGGTGCATCCCAAGTCTGGCAATTACAGCTCTCCTTTACCAGCCACCAACAGCCTTCCTTCCTGCCTGCTCCTTCTGTCCTGTTTTCTTAGTTCTGTATCTTAGCTTCCCCTCTATTCCTTTATCTGAACCTGGGTTTATCATTTAACTCCCTTGGTCTGCTGTGGCTTCCTTCTTTCTTTCTTTCTTTGTACTACACATCTGTGGAAAAAACACTACACACCTTTCAGGCAACTTCAGTGCGTTGATTTGTTAAGCACACAGGCCTGTTTGTAGGTTTATGATCTTTGGCATGTGCACTAGGGAGAGCAGACTCTGTACCATAACCTTGGTTATCTATTCCTAGCAAGTCTCTTCAGAAAGAAAGTAACCCTGTGAAGTCAGACAATACACAGCAAAAGGCTACAGGGAAAATGGAGTTGTATTCCATGGAAATTCTTTCCTGGTAAAAATTCCCAACCTGTGCTCTTGTCTCCTATGCTAGTACTCTGCCTCAACTTTGCAGAACAGTTCATACTGTAGTAACATCTCCTAGATCTTGTGGGTATTTCCCATGTTCTTCCCCATAAGCAGCCATTCTGCATCCACGGCTCTGAAGAGGGGCTAGGAGGTGTACCATGGTTAATCTGAACTGTGTGTGTGTTGGCTGGCCAGCAGTTCTGTCAAACAAAATGCGCAGGGGCTGGGTACGGACTACATTTCCCTCGGTGACGGCGCTAATTTGGATCTCTGGGCTGTCTATACACCAGCTTTTACAGAAGCTGTTAGTTCATGTTTGTTTATGTCTTATCCTGCTATCAAGTTTGATTGATGTCAGCCAACAAGTAATTGAGCAGTGAGGCTGATGGCCAATGTGGTTGCATAAGACTTGTTCCATTAGGAAAACGGGCTAACAAACACCCTGGTAATAGTTCTACTGACAGTGATGTGGAAATTGGTTATTGTGCGGTTTCTACACCGCTACAAAAGGCTTAGTAAGCTAATGAGCCACAGCACACAAGATCAACATAATTCTCTGCCGATAGTCTTGCGTTCTTTATTTACCAATTTCTTGCCACAATATTGTTGCTTGATGCAACATATATATTGATATTAATTGGTAGTAATCCAAGCACCCGTCATCATTTTTCAATTCATAGATGCCTACCAATTTTCCAGTAGAGGGGCAGACTACTGCACAGCAAGTTTAAACCTGACTGGGTTGGGCTTCCCTCTCTATTTTGTTTTCTGGCAGACTTCAAGTATTCCGCAGACCTTCCTCCACTCCTGGTGCAGGTTCCAAAAACAGCGATTAAAAAAATGAGAAGAACAACCCATGTCCCACCTCCATTAACCTCAACTCCTCTGCAGATGACTCATTCAAACACTTGACCAGAGCTGTTCCTTATGTCCTTTTTCAAGCTGACTAACTTCTGCTTTTGGCAATACATAGCAAGAAGACAGACTGCTAGAAGTGCTGCAGGGAAAAGCAAACGAACTAAAATAAAACATTACTGTCTCTAAAAATGCAGCATTAAGAAAGAAATGTCTGCTTATACCAATAGCACTGAAAAAGAAAGGCAGATCCCCAAGCCACCCTGAAGAGCAAATGAACTCCTCTAGGATGTTTTGGGGAAATGGGAAGTGCAAGTGAACCGAGACAGACATCAGGGAAAGGTTGTCAAGTGCAGAATAGCTGGACTTGACTTTAGCAGCTGGTAGCAGCGAAACTGCATTTCAAATTGGTTCCAAGTAAAAATGTATGAAGGCAGCTTGGGAGCATAAACAATTCTGCCTGAGAGCAGAGTAATCCAGCGTACACTGTGATGAGGAGAGGGATGACATGGCAGTCATCCTGAGAAAGCAGAAGCACCCTGCTATTGGCACACTTTCCAACAGTACCAGAAATGGGATTTCAGGAGCAAAGTACTTCTGAGGTTTCACAGGAGGAAAGCATATCCTTAACAGCTTAGATAAGAAAGAGCATTGAATTGCAAAGCTATCAAATGGCCTGGGCTCCCTATCTCCGCTACTATGCTAACCCCCGAGAATGCTGATAGACTAACTTCACCTCTTTTTTTCTAGTTTTCTCAAACAAAAGAAGGGAATTCTTAGAATTCTTGTTTACCAAAACATCAGACGACATCCGAAACCACGTGAAAGCGCAGCTAATTTTACCCACGCAACCACAAGCTTTGGCTTGGGACACGTATGCGGATTATACATCTCCACAGGTATAGACGGAGGCACCACTTCAGAGGTAACAGACCGTTAACTTCCACTGCGTTTACACAGCCGGGACCGAAGCAGCCCTACGCAAGACGACGGTATTTACCTCAGACTGCCTTTAAACTCAGTGACAAGAAACATATTC